GACACGGGCCCGCACATCACGGACGTGGTAGGCGAGGACGTGGTAGGCAGTCGGCTCCTCTTCCGTCTCAATGTGCTCCCACGTCTCGATGCACTGTTGTCTGAGGTGGAGTTTCCGCCGCTCTGTCGTGACGAACGAGAGGCGGATCGCCGTGGGCGGGCGTGGCCTCGGGCGAGGGCGGCGGCCGCGCTGATGAGGGAAGGCGTACGGCGTTCGTCGGCTCCTGATGACGTCGATGAGCGGTCTGGACTGTGCGCCAGGGCTGTGCCTGACTTGTGAGTGCGCGGTGGGCCAGACGCGGCCCCAGGGCTGGAGCCGCTGGGGCGCGACTCGCGTGCGTCGGGATGCCCCCGCACGGGGACGGCTTGCAAGCCAGTGTACACCAGGTCGATGAGTGGTTTCGGGTCCAGCTGGAGCTTGCGAAGCGAGACGCGTGGACGGGGCTGGTTGGGGTCGACCCTGGTGGCTGCTTCAGTGTCGTAGTGCTGTTTGGCCCATACTCGCGCTGCCTCTGGCGAGTATAGTGCCTGCGGCGGTGGCCACGCTGCCGCGATGACTGGTCTGCGCCTGGTGCTAGCTTCCTGGTCGTGAGCTTCAGCCGCCTCACGGAGATCTGGATGATCGTAGCCAGCGATGTGAAGGGCGTGCGCGCAGTCGCCCATGCCATAGGCGTGTGGTAGGGCACGGCACCTGGAAGCAGCTTTTGTGGGGGCGCACCAGTCCATGCGGATGAGGAGGCTCAGGACCCGAGGGTAAATGAGACGCGCTCCGTGGGCCTCCCCTTTCACGAAGTTGTGCCTGTTTTCCCCGCGCGGTGGTTGGGTGGCCTCGCACATCCAGAGTGCGATGGGTCCCCACGCGAGGGTGTCGTCTTCGAGACTGTAGGGCGGGTGGGGCGGCATTGCGTACCACGCGGCCAGCGTAGGGTGCACGCTCACGTACGTGCGGCCAACGTTGGTGCCAGTTCGACCCTTCGCTTCACGGCGGGGACCTGGCAAGAGGTGCCCTCCGCTGGCAGCAAGACGGGCCGCAAGGTCGCCGCGGGTCCCATGCCGGAAGACAGTGGGCGCGTTGGTGGTGGGTTGGCGGAGGTCCCACGTGAGGTAGGGGAAGATTGTCTCGCCTGAGTTCCCGCCCGAGTCTTCCAGCACCCAAGTGAGGCGGTTCGGGGGCCTCTGCATGATGTCAGTCCACGGCCCCAGCGCTTGGAGTGTTAGATCATGGGTTAATCGAGGATGGTCGTGGAGTCGCAGAGCGTCTTTGATGTCCTCTGTAGACACGCCACTGTTACCAAGCGCAAAGCCGTTTTGGTACAGGGCGTTGAGGATGCTCTTCGGCGGCACGGGGACCGCTGGGTCGCGCTGGATAGTGTTGCGTAAGTTTCGTGTCGGTGGCTTGAGGGCTGTGTAAGGCATACCAGGGCCTGAAGGCGCCTGGGGCCTGTCGGGTGATGCATAGCGTGCTCGCCGTCGTGGTGGTTGGGTGTCCGCGTCGGGAGAGGACCCACGAGCATCAGCATGTCGGAAGATGGACCACGGGCTATCGTGGGTGCACTCACGTGTTTCCCTTGCCTCGGTGTCGCTGCCGTGTGCTGTGGCATCCTCGTTAGTCGGTAGGTTACCGTATGCCGCGCCGCTCTTGGAGCCGTCTCGTGGAGACGGGCTGGTCGATCTTGGTGTGACAGACGAGGCTCGCGATACGGCGGCAGTGACTTCGACGATGGCGGCGGTGGTGGCGGTGGTGACATCGGCGACTGCAGCGGCAACTGCTGCGGTGTAGTGTTCCTGCAGCAGCGGATGTCGGAGTGAGTGCACGTGTTGGTCGTCGTGTTCGTCGGCAAGCGTGCACGGCATTTTGTATGTGGCCTCATCGCGCGGCCTCCTGCTCGGTTGGCAACAGCGGAGGCACCACTGGGCTGTGGATGAGTCCAGGGCCCGCGCACAGATGCGGGCTCCTACGTGTCCGACGGCTCCTTGAGCAAGAAGTTGGGCGCCGACGAGTAGAAGACCGCACACGACTCCGCCCGTGGCAATAGCCCCGAGTTTGCCGCTGGCCCATTTCAGGACACCCCCGAGGCCGACCCCGACTGCGCTGGCTCCGCCCGAGACGCTATCTCTGAGTTTGACGCTGGTCCATTTGAGAGTGGCCCACAATGCGGACGTGACGTTGTATGTCGTTGTGCGTCGGGATGTGGTGGGCACAGATGGGCCTGGTGCCGCCGCTTCACGTCGTCGTCGTTGTCGGTAGCTGGGGTCTCGGCTCGGTGACGGCAAGTACCCATCGATCTGGTCCTTGTACGGCATTGCTATCACGATGGCGTACGTGGCCACAAAGAGGCAGATGAGGCAGCCACAGTGTCGTGATGCCGCTGCGCTGTGCTGGGGCTCGTGGGAACCGCTTGCATCTGGGTACTCATCATCGATGGGTCGTTGTCGATGTCGGCCTGCCAGTGGTCAATGACACTGGGGTTGGAGTCAGTCACGTTAACACGGCAGACAGAGGTGCGGGGCGTGGTGCTGCCACCTGCGGTCTGGGGATGTCCAGGTCCAGCCAGTGCTGCAGCGGGGCTGAAGCCGCCACTGCGCGGGCTGGCATGAGCTGGCGATGCAGTTGCATGGCTTGTCGCGTCGGCGGCAGTGGCGCCTTCAGCGTCGTTGAGCTGTGCGCAGGGGTCGGCCTGGGCCGAGTTGTTGGGCGGACTGCTGTGCGACGAGGTGTGCCCTAAGTGGGGTTCACTGTCACGGTCACGCTGGGCCGTGTCGCCTGGTGGTGTCGTGCCGTCGCGATCCTGGGTTTCCATGTCGTCCTGGCTATCGTCCACATGGACCGAGCCCAAGGATATGTTGCTGATATCGTCCGACGCGTGGAACGAGTCCAGGGGTGTGCCGTTGATGTCGCTGGCCGCGATGTGCTGGAGCAGCCATGATACGGGGTCGTCTGCGGCCTGATCACCCGTGGCGTGCTGGGCGAGGCCAGCTGGCGGTGGTGGGTTAAGCGGTTCCATCGGTGCCGCCGCGAGCTCTGCCTCGACAAGCGGCTGCATGTCTGTCGGGTGGTGCAGGATCGCATCAGCGAGGTACGCCAGGGCGTCTTGGTCGGGTGGGGGAAGGCCTCTTGGTAGTAAGGCATGGGCCCGTGAGAGGTATGGCGGCAAAGGTGCCGTGAAAGCTTCAGGGCCGACAAGCTGGGCACGAGCACCCTGGTATTCCAGAAGGAGGCCAAAGTAGCGGGTGGAATACTCGCGGCTGCCCTGGATACGAGTGAGGTTGCGGTTTGTGCGCTGTCTGTCGGGGCCCGCTCTATACCAGATGTCCACGCACATGTCGAACGCGGTGAGCTGGCGCAGGGCGTCGGTTGTGTCCTCAGAGTCCTCCTGGAAGAGGTGATCGTACTGTGGCAGATGAAGCGTCGCCAGGATGTACGGGGCGCAGTCCTCGAGCCATGCCCAGAACACGTCCTGGTGGTCCTCACCTGGTGCCCACGCCTCAGCGCACGGTATGAGCCGGCCGCGGATCATCATCAGGTGCCAGAAAGCGGGGTCCTCCTCGGGTTTCGCCCCTAGCGCACAGGGGGGTGGTGAGACCCGTGGGACTATAGCGGGGCACGACAGCGGGGCTGAAGCCGCCACTGCGTGCCTGGCCTGTATCAACGTCCCCGTCAAGGATCTGCTGCACCACGGTCGAGGCCACGCTGGGGGTGGATTTCGATGCATGTGTCGTAGTTGACAAGGGCGTGCATGCGCTCACGATGGCGCCCAGCGATCCGTTGCCACACGGACCCGCGGCGGCGGTGCTGTTCACGATCGGGTCCAAAATGGTGCAGTGATCGTGCTTGTAGATGCTGTCATCGTAAAGGTAGAAAAGAGTCCCACGTTCAGCATGTCGCAGGAAAACCTCACCTCCATGCTGGGGCGCACCGCCTGAAGACGGGTGTGCTCCAGCGAGCGAGGGGAGGGCCAGGCTGCAGGCAAGGCGCCACATGATGGCGAGGCCTGGCGGGCGGCGCGAGCGATGAGCCAAGAGCTGCATGTCAGCACGCATCCTCAAATACCCCTGCATGCTCATGTACATTGCAACAATCACGCCCCCTGCAAGATGATGGGTGTCCCTACACCAGATAGCTTGCGCGTGCTGCTGCCAAAACTGACATGATATGACAAGAAAGAGATACGACGCGAAGAGGGAAGAGATGCCTCTGAAGGCGCTTCCTCGGAGGGCTGAGGCAGGCTCTCTGAGGCACCTTCAATAGGGTTCCTGGGTGACCTGGGAGGCGCGATGCTCGTTCGACATTGTTTCGATACCTCTGGGTGCTCGGAATTAGTTCTGGGGCCCTTTTAATGTGGTCTGTCAGCGCGATGGGAGCAGCACGGCCCAGAATAGCAAAGCGCGTACCAGGGGGCAGCAGGATGAGGTTGCGGAAAGCGGGGCAGGCAGAGAGCGGGGGCGCGCAGAAGCTCCAGGGCCGGGCGGGCTCGGCGCGGACACGCAGACGCGCGCCCCCGCCGATCGGGGGGACGGAAACGCGTACGGAAACAGTTGGTACTCCAGGCTGTTGCGAAGCGTCATGGCTCGCCTCGTCTCACCGTCGTCAATTGTCCCTTGTCTCACCGTCGTCAATTGTCATGCATGGCGGCGCCCCGGCGCCCACCTGCAGCGCCCCCGCGGCGCCTCGACTGCAGGCCGATGTCCGATGTCCGATGTCATGGCTCGCCTGTGGGCCCACCAAAGAATGTTCTCAGAGCCTTATGTGGTCTGCGCGGAATGCTCTTAGAACATGTTTGGTTGAGACTGGTTTGTTTCAGCACATCGGGGCTATGTTCTAAGAACGTTGTTTCCGTTCTTAGAACTTTATGCTCTGGGCTATGAGACTATATTCGTGGTAGTGTCTATAGGAATGCCGGAACGGCCGGTTCCTGTGTAAGTACAATGTCCAACAGCAGTTCTTGTACATTCTGAAAAGGATTCGCTGTCGGCCTCGCCGCCGACCTGAGTCACCCAGAGGGCAGGGCTCTGCGGAGTCCCGCCAGCGCTTCGGGCACCTGATCCCAGCGGCCTCCGTGTTAGCGACCAAGAAAACTCGGGACGATCGACATGGGTACGGAAAGAATGGGTACAACGACCGACAGCACCCCTTGTCCGTTTTGAGCAGGACTCGTTGTCGATGCTCGCGTGCCCAACAGCGGCCTCTGTTGGTTTGGGATAACACGTGTTGCTGGGCATCGTACCCGTCTTTTCCCTGCCCATGTCGGGCGTCCACAGCCCCAGGCGCGGCTGTCCCTGATGGAGTCGTTCATGGCCGCGGAGAGGGGCGTCAACGGCAAGGCGGAGGCATCTCCGCCAGCGGCCGCGGAGGGACGCCGCAAGGGGGGTGTGAGGGCAAGTCCCTCTCCCGCTCCTCCTCCTCCGCCTCCGCCTCCTCCGCCTCCTCCTCCTCATCCTTCCCCCTTTCCTGAGAACGCGGGCAACTCCCCGGGCTCGCAGCACCTCGCAGGCCCACCCCACGGCACACCCGCGCTGGAGTCGCCACGCCCACCGTGCGCTGGACCCCACGAGGCAGTCTCGCCCTGGGCGGTACCGCGGGAGGAGCGGCAGAGCCACCCCACAAGCCCATCAGTTTCGGCGGCCCCGCCTACCTCGATTACGCGACCTGCTCAGGGTGCGAGGTGTTCGGATGACCCGACAGGGATCCCATGATGGATCTACGCATGGAGTTTTCCCTGATTGCCCTCCACCTGTCGGCCGACGTCCGCGTTGATCGGGTCTTGAGTGATGGACCTCCCCAGCATCGGCAAGGGGATCCGTGCACGTCGGTTTCAGCGGCTCCCTCGTGTTCGATTGCGCCCTCGGCTTCGATTGCTTCGGGCGTAACGCTCACCGCACCTGAGAATGCGGAGACCCCCTCGGGTTCGCAGCACCTTGCTGGACCAGCGCATGGCAGAGCCGCGCTGGAGCCACGCTCACCGTGCGCTGGGTCCCACGGGGCAGTCTCGCCCGAGGGGGGTTCGCAGGAGGAGCGGCAGAGCCGTGCCACACGGACATCTATGGCGCCTTCGACCTCGATGTCAGTGCCAGCGCAGCCAGGGCAGGAGGCGAGATCGCACGTGGATCAGCACAGGCCGATTGCTTTCGCTCGTTTTGAGGACCTCACTACTAAGTTTGTCCGACGTGCCCTAGCCAGAGCCATCGGCAAGGGCAAGTTGCAGTTCTCACGTTGGGTCCGTGCCCGTTGGAAAGATAAGGCGGGGGCCCTTCATCGATATGTCAAGGACCCGAGTGGGGAGGTATTGGAGTTGCAAGGCTCTGCGGACCCCAACGCTATTATGACTGCTCGTGCGGACTATTGGCGAAGGGTGTGGCAGGATCCAGTGGACACTGTCTCAGATATCTTGCTCGCCCTTCGCCGGGCTCGGCAATGTGCGCACGGCCAGGCCTTACCGCAACTCACTCTTTTCGACCTCGACTCAGCGCTCGCGCGCATGCCGGCCAAAAGGCCACGGGTGTTTACAATTTCACTGTTGATGACGTCGCCAGGCTGCCCAGGGCTGGGCGACAGGCCTGCGTCGATCTTCTCAACCTTTGTGAAGACAAATGGACATGGCTAGTGCAGGTTCACGCCACGCTCGGTGCTGTCGCCCCCAAGCCTCAAGGGGGGGACCGGGTCCTTGGATTCCTCCCTACATTGGGCAAGATCTGGTCCCACGTAAGGGCCTCCCAAGCCAACTGCTGGTCTGATGGCCTTGAGGCCCATAGGGATGCGGCTCTGGCGGGGTCCTCAGCTCTACGTGCTGCCAGGATTCGTCTTCTCATGGACGGGGCGGCCATTGCGAATGGCAAGCACGTCGCATGCTTGCTACTCGACCTGGCAAAGTTTTACGATGGCGTCTCGTTCGTTTTGCTTCTTCAGTTCGCTGGCAGAGCGAACTACCCCATGATCGTTGCACTCGCGGAGATTCAGATGTGCCTAGCCCCACGCCTTCGCAGGGCCAAGTCGTGGGTCAGTCCGCGCATTGGCCCCGCCCACCCCCTCGCCGCGGGGAGCCCGAGAGGGGTAAACCTCGCCAAGTTTTTTCTCCATCCTATTTTGACCACGTGCACAGTTTGAGCCCTGCCCCCGACCTGCGGACATACGTTGACGACACCTCCGCCCGCATGGAGGACGACGATGAGCAGGTCGTTGCAGTGGGGACCGTTGAGGTGGGAAAGGAGTTGGCGGCGCAGTTCCGTAAGTACCGTCTCGTACGATCGGAGAGGTCTACCTTGGTTGCTTCCGGCACGCGGCTTGGGAAAGTCATGGCCAGGGCCCGCCGCGTGGACGGCATCCCTATGATCTACTCCACGTGCGCCACCGACCTCGGCGTCGACGCGACCCCAGGCAGGCGTAGGGTTACCAAGAGGACTGCAGCCAGAAGCGTCAAGGCCCGCAAGCGTGTCGGGCGCATTCTTCGCATCAGAAAGTTGGGTGCCAAATTGCATCGCGAAACAGCGGGTCTTTGGTCCACATGCCCCAGGCCATCCACGGTCATGAAGCTGCAGGGCCCCCCCCCCTCCCTCTCGACTCCCAGCTATCACAAGGCAGGCCAGTGCCTCCCTGTCGGGGGCCAAGCGAGGCAGGTGCCCCACCTTTACGCGAGCGCGCACCGTGCAGGACAAAGACCCTGACCTACAGCTCCCCGCCAATCTCATACAGACGTGGTTTGGCATATAGTTTTCGCGCCCATAGTGGCGCCCGGCCATCAGGATGGAGTGGTCCACGATCAAGGATCGGGTCATCAGGGACTCCACGATCAATTGGAACTGCGTGCGCGGGCCTGTCGGCGCTATCATAGCCACACTCCACCATGTAGGATGGCAACCGAATTTCCCAGAGGCTTGGGAGCGCCCTACGGTTCAGGGCACCGATATTTGGACCTTCCCTACCTCTGGCTCCGAGGATTTCCGCAGGACCGACGCCACTGAGCTAATCGACGACTTCATCCACGACGTGTCTATGCTCATATGGCGCAAGGCCTCGGATCACACGACTCTCACGACCTTCAGAGGGGAGCTGACATGCTCGGGGTCGCCCGCGAGCTGCGACGCTACGAGGCCAATGGAGAGCAGGACTTGCGGGCCACTGCGCTCACAGTTGCTTCGGGAGGACAATGGCCATTGGCAATGCAGTTCGAGGCAGGTTATTCGCGCTCACGCGTCTGCAAGAGATGTGGACGAGGGCTTGGGACGGCTTACCATCGCGCGTGGGATTGCGAGAGAAATCAAGGCCACGAAGACTACGACATATGCCAGAGCCTCCTCCCCCGCGCTGCATCCTCCCATGAGGCTGAGCCTTCCGACTGGCTCCTCGGGGCCTTTATGAGCTCCCATACGAAGCGCGCTTTCTCGGAGGACATGGTCTTGGAGATGGGCTTCCACGTGTTCGGTGGCCCGAGTCTGCTGCGTAGGCCTCCCGAGACCCCGCTTTTGATTTTTTGGGGGGCTCTGGGGGCCATTGCAGTAGCGATCCTAGGCGTAAGCGTTGTGGCGTGGCCATGACCGCCCTCGAACAGGCCCCAGGTGACCCCGCCCGCTGGCTGCCTGTCCGGGGAGCGCGGGCCCCACTCGGGCCGGAGGCAGACGGTCCCCAGAGCGGGGCTTCGCGCTTTCATTCTTTCGTTGCAGCTGCTGCCTTTGCCATTTCAGCACTTCACGTACCATCTGGCACTCTGTGTTAGTATGGAAAGTTGGCAGATTCACTCGGCCCGCCCCGAAGGAGCATGATTCTGACCTCTGGAGGTTCTTTGTCGCCCGCAGGTCCTCCCCTGTCTCTCTTGCTTGGACCCCCTCCCACCTCGAGCAGGATCCCGGCCGTCTCTGGACCTGGGAGGAGGCGCCCGCGGCGGTCGGCAACGCAGCGGCCGACGCCCTGGCCAGCGAGGCCGCCGCCCGTGGCCTCTCCCCAGCCCTCCCCGCAGGATGGGACATTAGAGCGGTGGCCCGCGTCGACCTGGAGACGGCGCTCATTCGCGCCAGGCTGCGTCGCAGTCTGATCGGCACGCTTGAAGTTGACTCGTGGGAGGGGGAGTGGGCGGGGGGGCGAACAGACTCGGCCCTCCTGGTTGCGGCCGCCAGACCTTGCCCAGACGCCCGCCTGGGAGCTATCAGTTTCCCGACCGCCTCAGGCGCTGGTTGACGTGAAGTCACTGGCAATCGGCAACATTTCGGACCTTCATACCCTTCGTGCGTGTGTGTGCGTGTGTGTGTGTGTGTGTGTGTGTGTGTGTGTGTGTGTGTGTCTGTGTGTCTGTGTGTCTGTGTGTCTGTGTGTGTCTGTGTGTGTCTGTGTGTGTCTGTGTCTGTGTGTGTGTGTGACGTGTGGCCACACGGCCACCACCGACCCTCCCCACTTGGAACGCCCCTGCCCCCATTGTTCGCAGTCGCAATGGGCAAGAGAACCTCTCTAGGATTGCGAAGGGCAAATTTCCATTTTACAATTTTACAGGGTGGCGAGGGGGGTCGCGGACTCCGCCAGGGAATCCATCCCTGCCTGCCGTGCTCGTGCTGAGGGACAGGGCCCCCTTTGAATCCTGAATACTGAATCCCCCTCTCCATGTCCTACTCTTTCCCTCCTTTCCCTCATCCTCCGCCCCGTCCTCCCCCATCTCCTCCTTCTCCTCCTCCTGCTCCTCCTCCTCCTTCTCATCCACCTCCTCCTCCTCCTTCTCGTCCACCTCCTCCTCCTCCACCTCCTCCTCCTCCTCCCTGCCTGGCGCTCGCGTGGCCACTGCACCAAGAGCAGCCTGCAAGGATGGAAGGATTGCTCCAGAGATCTCCGACAGCACCCCCTCCGCGGGCGCGCGGCCGCTCCTCTGGCAGTGGCGCCAACCCCCAGGGACTCCAAAAAGTTCGTGCCCCGCCTCCTCGTCGTCGTCCTCCTCCTCCTCCTCCTCCACCTCCTCCTCCTTATCTTCCTCCTCCTCCTCCTCCTCCTCCTCCTCCTCCTCCTCCTTATCTTCCTCCTCCTCTCCTCCTCCTCCTCCTCCTCCTCCTCCTCCTCCTCCTCCTCCTCCTCCTCCTCCTCCTCCTCCCCCTCTTCGTTTCAGTCGCCCCAGCCTTGCCGCCCGAAGCCCCAGGGGATCATCCCATGTTCGACTGCGCCGCCGCGCGTTTCCGCCGCCACGCTCGGGCGGGCCGCCTCGGGGGAGGGGGGGTCCTCGGGGCTTTCTTCGGGGCCTTTAGGCGGGAGCGCTTGGGGTACACAGCGGGAGCCTCTCGGGTCCGCCTTGCAGCGTTCCTGGCTCGTCGAACGGCTCCGGAGGCCGTCTCGGCACGACCTCGAGCACGGGCCGACGATGTTGTGGCCATCGGAGCCGAAGGTATCGGATTGGGTCGGGTCGGCCAACCTTTTGCCTTCCGTCTTACCTCGTGGTCCTCCTTCGCTTCCTCATCCTGCGTCCCCTCCTCATACCCCTCCTCCGCCTGCTTCCCCCATGCCCCCTTTACGGGGAGATTGATGAAACCCCCCTCCTAGCAACGTCGATCAGCGAGCTGCCCTTCAGATATGTTCGTCCGCCTGATGTGGCCCCTGGTTGTTTCCGCGAGAGTGTGTTTTTTATGTTATTTCTTAGGGCCCCCCGACGGTGTGGTGACGACACCGTGTGATGGGTCAGTGGGGATTCGGGGTCACCGCGCGGCGCTGGTTCTCGGGTCCGCATAGTAAAGACGGGCAACCTTCCCAAGGGTACCCTTGCATCCTTGCCTCCTCGGTGCATCCTTGGCCACTTTCGTTGGCCGCGCCCCGCTCGAAAACTTCGAGATGGGCTTCCAGGGGCCTTGCATCCTTTTCGCGCCTCCTTACTACACGGGTTGACCGCATCGGGTGACTGGGGCCTCCAGGGTCGCACCACCATGCGGCGGCGGACCGCGCGGTGAGGCTGTTTGCGGTTCCAGGGTCGCCACGCGGTGCGTCCCCGGGCGGTGTTGTTTTGGCGCCACGCGGCCTGGGCTCGGGCCCCGAGGGCCCTCGGCTCGAGAGGGCCTCGAGCCGAGGGAGGAAAAAACACGAGGAGCGACGTCGCCCTGCCAGATCTCGTGTTCGAGGGGCCTCACAGTTTGTAGAGACGGAGGACGAGACCGCCCCGCCTCCCCGCCAAATGCTTGCGAGTGGCAGAGCACGCCGTCCCTGTCCCCTGTCCCCCAGTGCGCACCGTCGCGAGGGAGCTGGTTGGAGGGGTGGTGCTAGGGGCGATGGTCTAGGGAGGAGGCGCATTTGCACTTTTTTGTGAAACACTCAGCATGGGGCCTGTGAGCACCAGAGTGGGGAAGGCAAAGCACTGCAGAAGGGCAGAAGAGTCAGAGGTCTTGCACACGAGGGGCTGGGTCCCGTCTACGCCAGGATCCGTCCTACTGTGCAAGTTTCAGCGCAGGGCCGGAAAAAGAGTCGGTGTATGGAGTCGGGGAGTTTCTGACCCGGGTCCATCCAGACCCGGGTCAGTCAGGCCTTGCAGACTCCTGCAACATCCTGCAAGATCCGGCACCCCAACCCGGGTCAATGCGAATGATCCTGCAAGATCCTGCAGGATCTTGCACCCAAGCCCAGGTCAACGCGACCCCGGCCTTGCAGGATCCTGCAAGAGCGGGCGCTCCTGGCTGACCCCCGTTTGCATCGACCCCCGTCTCCAGGCTCCCGGTGGAGGTCGGGCCCCTGCCGATGCCCAGGCTTGGCATCGCTCGGACGTGTGTACTCTTTCCTCGGCGAGGACCATCGAGGAGCATCCGTGATCATTTCGCGAAAAAGCCACGCACAAAACCGGAAAAAAAACACAGGGAATGGACGTCCGAGCGATGGCCAGCAGGGGCCGCCCCTCCCCCGCAGGCCTCCCGCGCGGCGCCCGCGCGCGCGCGGCGCGCGGCGCGCGCCGGCGGAGGCCTCGAGGCCGCCCGCCGCGCGGGCGAGGGAGGCGGCCGTGGCCTCCAGGCCCCCGGAGGCGAGCGGCGCGGGGGCGGTGCTGCGGGGGCGGCCAGAGGGGGGGGGCAGCTGGCACGCCCGGCATCGCTCGGGCATGTGCATTTTTTCTCGGCGGGGGCCATCGAGGAGCATCGTTGGATCAGTAGGCGAAAAAAACAGAGGGAATGGACGTCCGAGCGACGGCCAGCACGGGGTCAAGTCGGGCCTGTCCCTCTGCAGGAGGAATCTGAGAGAATAGGCGCAAGATACTCTGGGGACGTGTTTTTTTATGATTTGGCTCATTTTGAGTTTTTGAGGGTGTTTTTATTGTTCGTCCAAAATCCCCCTCTAGGTGGACATGCCCGACCTAAGCATAGGGGGATGCATTGATTAGGTGTTCGACCATGGACCCCTTGTTCACTGCAAGCGTCTTGCTTTCAAGCCGAAGACAGCCGGAAACCGAGGAAAGTCAAAGAAAGTTTTCAATCGCCCAAGTCCGTCAGAAGACCGTCAGAAGACCGCAGAAAACCGCCGAAGACCGCCGACGACCGCCACGAAGACCGCCCAGGGCCAGTGAGTAACAAGGGGTCTATCGTCGAATGCGTAGTGTCGACCCCCAATCGCCCATTGATCGCGTCTCTTAGTCCCGCCCCGCCCAGGAAGGTGCGGATTCGCAATACGGGGGCCTCTCGCCGATCCATCGACGATGTATCGTCAATGACGGCAGTCAACCCGTATAGTAGGAACGCATAATAAGGATGCAATGGCCTCGGAAGGCCATGTCGACACTTCGCGAGCGGGTCGCGGCCAGCGAAAGCGGCCACGGATTGGCCGAAGGGCAAGGATGCAAGGTTAACCTTTGAGAGTTGCTCATCCTTACTATGCTGGTCGACTGTAGGACGGGGCGGATCTCATTGTGGAGGCCACGGTATCTCTCCAGATTTCACGGCGCTTCTTCTTATTTCAATACGTTCCCCCACCCCCCTGTGTTGCACCCATGCCGCTGGTGAGCAACCGCGTGAGCTCCCGAGCTCAACCGATCGGACATTTCTAGCAACACGCGAAAGTTATCAGGAGTAGTTTTCGGAAGTTGTCGAGGTGTGGCGTGGTTTCCATCAGCTGCGCCTCGTCGGGAGCGTTCCAGGGATGCCAGAATCGTCCCGAACGGCCGCTGCAGGCCCGATGTGTGGCTCATGACCCGAAGGCTGGACGACGAGGAACACCGGGAGGGGTCAGGCCCAGGGGAGAATGTGCAGAGCAGAGTCCATCCGCTTCTAGAAGACCAACATTTGGAGCCTATGCGAAATACTTTTCTCACTCTCAAACCACAAGGGTCTATCGAAGACGCCTACGGCGAATCACCGCCGCCCCCTGCCTTTTTGGAAGCGCCTATGTGGCCGAACGTTGAGGCCAGACCTGCCAAGCTATCGGACCACGTGTTCCCCGAATCGGTTTGGAAAGCCTTCGGGGAACACGTGGGCATCTTGAAGGTCATCTTGGCCGTCTTGGAGGCCTCTTGGGCAAGCTTTGGGCGATCTTTGGGGCTTTTTGGGCCGTCTCGGGCCAGCTTCGAGCCAACTTCGGCCATCTTGGTGGGTTCCTGGCACGTCTGAAGCCGTCGGAAGCCGTTTGGGGGGCCTCTATGGGCCGACTTGGGGCCCGCTTGGAATGCTCCAGGGCCGTCTTGGAGGCCATCTTGGGCGTCTTGGAGGCCATCTTGGGCGTGTTGGAGGCCTCTTGGGCCCTCTTGGGGCCCTCTAGGGGCCATCTTGGAGGCCACTTGGGCCATCATGGGGCTCTCTTGGGGGCCTCTTGGGCGATCTTGGGGGCTTCTTGGGCCGTCTTGAGCCGTCGGAGAGCCGAAAAGGCGCAAATGCCAAAATCCTTCAAAAACCAACGGAAAATCAATGATTTTGGCCTCTTCGGACTCTCCTGGAGGACCTCTTGGAGGCCTCTTGGGCCGTCTGGGAGGCCTCTGGGGGGCCTCTTGGGCCGTCTTGGGCCGTCTTGGACTCTCTTGGGCCGTTTTGGAGGCCGTCTTGGACCATCTCGGGCGGACTTGGAGGCCATCTTGGGCCATCTTCGCGATTGTTTGAGGATGTCCCGAGCGAAACGGCCGTTTTTGGGCATTGACAGACGGATTTTCGGGAATTTACGCGTGGCCGGCGGGACGGGCCGAAGCCCACTGGGGAGTTCTTTTAGAAAAAGAACCAAAACCAAAACCTGAAACGTCCAGCACGCCGTGCACCCCTGCAAGCAGGGGGCGGCGGATCTAGTGGCCTTCGGTCCTTCCCGCCACCGCGCTAGGGTTGTGGATCAGGGTTCTCAAGGGATGCTTCTCGGGGTCTCTTCGGAGGCCTTCGGGGGCCTTTTGGGGGCAGTTTGGGGATCTCCTGGAAACCTCTTGGGGCCCTTTGGGGGCCTCTTGGGGGCCCCTTGGGGCCCCCTGGGCGCCTCTCAGGACCGAGGGGGTTCAATGTCCCGCGTCGTCGACGGGGAGGGGGTCGTCGAGGGTGGTTCGCCGAGGGGATCTTCCGAGGGGGGCAACCGAGGTGGCCTCCCACGGGGCGTCGTCGAGGAAGGTCGTAGAGGGGGGTCGTCGACGCACCCGAGGGCGGCCGCCGAGGCAGCCACCCGGCTAGGGCCATGGAGGGGGGCACCCACGGGGGGCCCCCGCGGGGACCACCCGAGGGGGGCACCCGCGGGGGGCCCCCGAGGGGGGAGGGCCCCGGGGAGGCTCAGGTCGCGCTCGTTGTACTTCGCGGTTCTCGTCGTGCCCGTCGCACCCGTCGTGCGCCCATCGTTCTCGTCGCATTCCTCGCCGCACTCGTCGCGCTCGGTGCATTCGTCGAACTCGCTGTCGTCCGGTTCGGTCCGGTCCGGTTCGGGAAGGAAGTTCGGCCCAGTTCAGGATCCCATTCGAAGGCGGTCTTGTTCGGTTCAGTTCGATCGTCGACAACGACCAGCTTGGTTCGCGTTGACATAGACTGGTTCGCACAGGTTCGGTTCGGCTGGGTTCTGTTCGGGCGGTTCGGCTCGGTTCCAGAACCACCCTGAAATCAGTCAAACACCAAAATGGATGGTCAATGATTTTGCTCTCTTGGGACCCTCTTTGGAGGGCTCTTGTTATTCGGGGGCATATTTAGGGTTTCTTGGGCCGTCGTGAGGCCATCTTGGGCATCTTGGAGCGCATTAGGGCCGACCCAGGGCCCTATTGGACCGTCTTGGCCGCCTCTTGGGGCTCTCTTGGTCCGTTTTTGGAACCTCTTGGTTCCGAAAAGTCATGCGAGAGCAGGCCCCAGCTTCTGGAACCCCCAGCAATATCCAGATATGTAGGGTTCGGGCCATCTCGTATTGAATATGCCAAGACCGAGCATGCAGGATTCAAGAGACCTGAGGACACTTCAATTGGTACCTCAGGGCACGATGGCGGAAATGTGGATATGTCAATATATGTATCTGTTCGTTTGCATATATCTATATATATATATATATATGTAGAATGAGAGAGGAGAGATAAAAAGAGAGAGAGAGAGAGAGAGAGACGGAGAGACAGAAAGAGCTATAGAGAGAGAGAGAGAGAAACATACAAAGAAGGCAGCCTTAGACCTCGGACCCGCGCCTGCCAAGCCGTATACTTCGGCTCCCTTACCGCGTAACGTGGAGAACCTCTCCGTCGCACGTGTAGCACTCGCAGAGCGGGCAAATGATGCGGTACGGCAAAAGTTGTGGTAGGGGTAGTGTGATCGGTCTCGCGCGGGGCATACGTTGGCTCGCGTGCGCCATGGTCGTCTTGTGCCAGCATTGTTCGCCGAACGCGTTTCGCTAGTCGCAAAGTGCCTACTCGCAGACGTCCAGAAACAAAACAACTTCCTATATGTAAGGGAGCGTAAATCCCCCGCGGCGGATCCAGGCTATTTGTGAATAGTTACTTTGCTAGTAGTGGAGCGCGCTTGTTTAATTGTAGCACGTGGCACTTGATTGCTTAGTTGAATACTGGAATGCTGTTGCGAGTAGCAGCATCTGATCGGGATCGACTTGGCAAGTCTGGTGGCCGGGCCAGGTGATGGAGCCCACGCAGGATTCGCAGCAGGGCACGGCCAAGGTGGGAACATGCTCTGGGGCATGGGCAGCAGCTTGATCGATCCTGTAGTGTTCCTGATAGCGAAAAGCCCGGCGCAGAGCCTACCAATCCGAATGAAGGGCGCTGTGCCCCATGGTCTGCTTGCACTATCGGCGCCGTCAGTGACGAGGACAGCAGAAATATTGCAGCTGGTCGGGACACCATTGGATGACTGCCAGCAAACATACGCATACACCGAAACATGTGGCTGAACAAAGAGATGAAGGATACGGCAATCTCTTGATAGTGGGTGCCAGGACTCGGCGTAGCTAATCCTCGATTTGTCAGTTTGCGCGCGCCTGCAGGCGAGCCCCTGCTTTCTGCTTGCATCGAAGAGTGACCAAATGGTCATGTGTTTCATGGTATACTTGCTCCTCCGGTGAGTTTTCATGTCAACAGCGTCCAGTATGCACCAGCTTCTCTGTTGAGGTTGAAACTCTAATTTTCCGACGGGCGTCCCACATGACATTAGCTGTTGTCTAGGCCAAAAGACATAGGGAAACCAGAGTTGCTGGTCTGCTTCCTGGCTCATGGTATCCGCTTTTGCTTGTTGGCCTCCGTGGGCCAGATCGATAGAAATCCCGATTGGCGTCGAGGACTGACTGGCCTCAGCGCTCATACGATACAATTCGGTAGTCTGCCCCCCCCCTGTCTCCGTGGGCCGAGGATCCTGAGCCTGGGTGCGTCGGGTCCACCGGGGGCCAGCCGCATGCCACACGGGAGAACAATACGTCAGGGCTTTCCAGGAGAGGCCGGACCGATGAGTTTTCAGGGGCTGTTGCATCCATTTCCCGTCGTCGCGCAGCAAGGCCACAGCGAGGCGCGGGTTCGCGGCGCTTCACGGTTCGCTGGCAGTCGGTCTGCTTAGGGAGGTCCTGCCCTCCGGGGAGGTCTGCTAGAAGTCGATGGGCCGTCTGGGCCGTTCTCGGGCGTTTGCCTGTCTTTCTGGGACTTTTGTGGCCGATTTGGTGGCCAGTTGGTTGGTTTGTTCGTTCATTGGCAGCGGTTGGTGGGTTGGTTGGTTGGTTGGATGGTTGGCTGATTGGTTGGCCTGTCAGGTGTATGAGCGGTTGGTTGGCTGGATGGTCGGTTGGTCGTTTGGTTGGTGTGCCTAGTTGATTGGTCGGTGACCCGCTTTGTTGGCTGGTTGCATGGCTGGCATGTCATACAGTGGACACCCGTGCTAAGAAACACCCCTCTCGATGATTTTGCGATGAAGAGCACGAAGTTCCCACCAAAAATCAATGGACGTCCTGGGTCTCAGGGTTGGGTTTCTTGTGGAAGGTTTCTTGTAGATTGGCCCCCACTGTATGAATTGACAGATGCAGTGTGCGCAGGCTGGCGCCAATGAAAAGGATAATCACAGTTGCTTCTTGCAGGCGGGCGGGGGAAACGCGAAGCCAATTGGCGTCGACCTGGTGCCGGAGGTGGCAGTGTATCGCTTAGGATTTCTTGGGGGCGTCGTTGGGAGCCTTGTAGAGGCTCGGAGGGGCGATTTGGTGGCGTCTTGTGGGCTTGAACGGCCTCGTGAGCATATCTAGTGTTGAGTCGGGCCCGTCCCTCTACAGGAGGACGATTCAAGAACAGTCAAGTCTCGGCACAGTTCTTTAGTCCCAAATCCGCCTTTAGGAGGACATGCCCGACCTTAATCGAAGACGCCTACGGCGAATCACCGCCGCCCTCTGCCTTTTTGGAAGCGCCTATGTGGCCGAACGTTGAGGCCAGGTCTGCCAAGCTATCGGACCATGTGTTTCCCGAATCGGTTTGGAAAGCCTTTGGGGAACACGTGGGCGTCTTCAAGGTCATCTTGGTCGCCTGGTGGCCATTTTGACCCTTTCGGGCCTTCTCGGAGGACGTCTTGGAGGGCTTTTGGGCCGTCTTGGAGGCCACCTTGAGCGTCTTGGAGGCTTCTTGGGCCGTCTTGGGGGCCTCTTGGGGCCGTCTTGGGCCTCTTGGGCGATCTTTGGGGGCACTTGGGCCGTCTCAGGCCGTCGGAAGGCCGAAACGAAGCAAATGCCACAATCCTTCAAAGACTCGTGCGAAATCAACGATTTTTTGGCTCTTTCTGGCCTTCCTGGGAGCCCTCTTGGAGGCCTCTTGGGCCGCCTTGGGTCATCTTAGTGCCATCTTCGGCCGTCTTGGTTGGCCCCTGGCCCGTCCGACACCGTGGGAAGCCGTTTGGGGGGGCTCTCTGAGCCGACTTGGGGCCCTTCTGGATTGCTCCAGGGCCTTCTTGGAGGCCATGATGGGCGTCTTAAAAGCCTCCTGGGCCGTCTTGGGGGCGTCTTGGGGCCGCCTTGGGGGCCTCGTGGGTGCCATCTTGGAGGTCTCTTGGGCGATCTTTGGGCGAGCTTTGGGGGCTCTTGGGCCGTATCGGGCCGTCGGAAGGCCGAAACGACGCAAATGTCAAACTCCTTCAAACACCTATGGAAAACCGTATGTTTGGCTCTTTCTGGCCTTCCTGGAGGCCCTCTTGGAGGCC